GGCAGTGTGGGCGTGGCTTATCCAAGATACACTTTGGGCGTGTCCTGATTATGGGCGTGGCTTATTGTGTAACCCACGGTGGGCGTGGCTTAGTGTGTAACCCACGGGGGGCGTGGCTTATTGTGCAACCCATGGGGGGCGTGGCTTATTGTGTAACCCACGGGGGGCGTGGCTTATTGTGTAACCCACGGGGGCGTGGCTTATTGTGTATCCCACGGGGGGCGTGGCTTATTGTGTAACCCATGGGGGGCGTGGCTTCATATGTGCTTTATGGGGCAATGTGGGCGTGGTCAGTGTGTAACCCCGCCCCTGACCACGCCCCCCCTCGGCCAGTCGGGCTCGGGCAGCCCCGGGGGCGGCAGCGCCGGGGGGGTCCCGGGCGGGGGGGGCCTGTCCCCGGCAGAGGTGGCCGAGCTGTTCCAGCGGCTGGCGCAGAGCCAGCAGGAGCGCTGGCTGCTGGAGGAAAAGGTAACTGGGAGCACTGGGAGGGACTGGGAGGGACTGGGAGGGGCTCCCGGCGCGGCTCACCTGGATTTACCTGGGCAGGTGAGGCACCTGGAGGTGTCGAGCGCGTCCATGGCGGAGGATCTGTGCAGGAAGAGCGCCATCATCCAGAGCTTCGTGCGCGACAGCCGCACAGGTGAGGCGTCCGCAGGGGCACCTGGGCCTCACCTGGCGCTGCACGCGGATCTTCACGTCCGTCTGGTCCTTCTCACCTGGCTGGTCTCACCTGTCCTGGTCTCACCTGTCCTGGTCTCACCTGGTCTCACCTGTCCCTTCTTACCTGTCCTGGTCTCACCTGTCCTGGTCTCACCTGTCCTGGTCTCATCTGGCTGGTCTCACCTGTCCTGGTCTCACCTGTCCCCTCTCACCTGGCTGGTCTCACCTGTCCTGGTCTCACCTGTTCTCTTATCTGTCCCTTTACCTGTCCTCTCACCTGTCCTCTCACCTGTCCCCTCTCACCTGTTCTCTCTCACCTGGCTGATCTCACCTGCCCTGGTCTCACCTGTTCCCTCACCTGTCCCCTCTCACCTGGCTGGTCTCACCTGTCTCACCTGTCCGTGTGTCCCCAGAGGCCGCGGGTCCCGCGGGGCCCCCCCGGCGCGGGGCGGGGGCGGGGCCAGGTGAGGAGGGGCTGCGGGAGATGAACAAGAAGCTGCAGAACCTTCTGGAAGAGCAGCTGACCAAGAACCTGCACCTGGCACAGGTGAGGGGGCGGGGCCAGAGTGGGGCGTGGCCTATTGGGGTGTGGCTTTTACAGGGTGGAGCCTAAGGGGTGTGGTTTGAGATGGGCGTGGTCTCAAATGGGTGTGGCTGAAGGGTGGGTGTGGCTTATAGGGGTGTGGCTGGTGGGGAAAGGGGGTGGGGCTCTGAAAGGGGCGTGGTTTTAAATCTGGGGGTGTGGCATAATCTATGACATCACTGCGTTTAGGGGCGCAAGATAAAAGCTTGAAGTGGAGGTTGGGCTTTAAGCTGTGGGCGTGGCCCCTCCAAGGGCGTGGCCTCACGCAGTGGGCGTGGTCTGTGCCCCCTCCCCATTCCCCCTTTTCCAGGACCTGGAGTCGCTGTCCCAGGAGCTGGCGCAGCTCAGGAAGGAACAAGCGGCCCCCCCGGGACCCCCGTGAGGGGCGGGGCCTCTCCTTGTGGGCGGGGCCTGTCCCCCCGCAGGCTCCGCCCCCCGGCCGGGGCGCTGCTGCGTTGCCCCTTTAAGGAAGCGTTGGGCCTCCCTGGCATTGCCCCTTTAAGGCGGAACACTTCCGTGGCATTGCCCCTTTAAGGGGGGGGGGGGGGTTCTTCTGGAGGGCGTTGCCCCTTTAAGACCGGGGGCGGTCCCCGCCGCGGCATTGCCCCTTTAAGGAGGAGGTGGTCCCCACTCCGGCGTTGCCCGTTTAAGGGGGTCCCGCATGCGCCCCCCTCTTTTCCCCCCACCCCAATAAACCCGATGTGAATCGCTGTCTGTGACGTCATTTCGCTGCGTCGCGAGGAGGGTGGGCGGGCTCGGTGACGTCATCGGAGGAGCAGCCTCGGCGGAGCCTGCCCCGTGACGTCACTTCCGCGCGCTGCCCCGGATGTTGTTGCCACGGCCGCGGCCGCAGGACGGGCACGGGCGCGGGCGCGGCTCCGGATCCTCCCCGTTCACAACCGCGCGCCGAACGGCCGGGGTGGGGGGCGCGGCGTGACGTCAGCACGGTGATGTAACAGCAGCCCCCCGCTTCCCCGGCTCGGGGGGGGCGGCGGCGGCAGCGAAACCCCCCCAAAACCCCCAATCCCCCTCGAGACCCCGCCCCAACATGGCGGCGGCGGCGGGGGGCGGGGTCTCGCCGGGGGGCGGAGCCTCGCTGGAGGAGGAGTGCGAGGTTGTGCGCGTGCGCGTCAAGGTGAGGGGATGGGGCGTGGTTGTGGGCGGGGCCTCGCTTGGGGGCGGTTATTATTATAATGAGTTGTGGGCGGAGTTAAGGGTTGGGGTCACGTGGGATCGGGCAGCCAATCAGCTCGGCGAGGCAGGTGTGGCGCCGGCGGGAAATTTTCCCGCCTTTCGGGTCACGTGAGGGCCCGGCGGCCAATCAGTGGCGCGGGAGGCGCTCCGCGTTGTCGCGGTGAGGGGAGAGCGCCGCCATGTTGGGTCGCCGTGAGGGGCCGGGGGGCTCCGGGACCCTGCGGGACCTCCCGGGACCCTCCGGGACCCCCTGACGCTCCTCCCGCAGAAGAGCGAGGGGCAGCAGCCGCCCGAGTTCCGCTCGTTCGCCGTGGACCCGCAGATCACCTCGCTGGATGTGCTGCAGCACATCCTGGCCCGAGCCTTCGACCTGCAGGGGTGAGCACCTTCCTCCCCCAAAACCCCACCTGGGACCCCCCCGGAACAGCCAGGTGACCTCACCTGTCGCTCTTTCAGGAAGAAAAGCTTCGTGCTGAGCTTTGCAGCACGGGATGGGCAGGGCCAGGACACCTTTGTGCCTCTGCTGAGCGATGGTGACCTGGCCAACGCCTTCACCTGCGCCCGGCCCACCCTGAGACTGCGCCTGGACGTCAGGAACCCCCCGGACAGTGAGTGACACGCCTGGGACACACCTGGGTCATCATGGGGGGGGTGGAGACACACCTGGGATGTACCTGGGACACTCACAAACACACATGGGTGGGAGAAATCATCTGGGACACAGCTGGGGTACACCTGGGCACAGTGGGACACACCTGGAACACACCTGGAAAGGGAAAACACACCTGAGATACACCTGGAATAGTCACAGACATAGCTGGGACACACCTGGGCACAGGGGGACACACCTGGATGAATGGGGACACCCCTGGGAGAGTGGAGACACACCTGGGAGAGTGGGGACACACCTGGGAGAGTGGGGACACACCTGGGAGAGTGGGGACACACCCTAGGACCCACCCCTGAGACACTCAGGGGATTTTGGTTGGGTGTCAGGCGGTTCTGAGCGCCCGGGGGAGGGTCTCAGGGCGGGGCTCAGGTGCGTCAGGCGGGACTCCCAGGTCCCTCAGCTACCTGTAGCTCAGGTGTGCCGTCCCCAGGCCCGCTGTTGGAGGACTGGGACATCATCAGCCCGCGGGAGGTGGCGGCGGCCGAGCCTCTCCCCGAGCGCCGCTCGCTGCTGGCGGCCGCCCTGCCCTTCACCCAGGCCCTGCTGGCACAGGTGAGCACACCTGGCCACAGGTGGAGCTTTTCCCCGCCCCGCCGGAAGCTTCCGGCGCCCTCCCAGCGCACCTGTGCCGTTCCCCGCAGGTGGGCCGGACGCTGGCGCGGGCGCAGGCGGCCCTGGCGTGGCCCGAGGGGACCCCGGCGGTGTCGCCGCCCCCTCCCCCTCCCCCGCCCTGCGCCCCCCTGAGCGACGCCGACCTGAGGTCGTACCTGGGCCCAGGTGGGCGCCTGCTGCGGCCCCAGGAGCTGCGGCTGCACGTCTTCCACGGCGGCGTCGAGCCCGGCCTGCGCAAGGTGAGAGCCTGAAAGAGCTCTTGGGGTGTACCTGGGGGTGTGGTTGTACCTGGGGTACACCTGGGGGGGTTCTGATCACACCTGGGGCACACCTGGGGGGGTTCTGATCACACCTGGGGCACACCTGGGGGAGTGGGGGTACAGTCAGACACACCTGAGGGGGTCCTGATCACACCTGGGGGGGCAGGGGTACAGTCAGACACACCTGGGGGGGTCCTGATCACACCTGGGGGGTCAGGGGTACAGTCAGACACACCTGGGGGGGGTCCTGATCACACCTGGGGGGTCAGGGGTACAGTCAGACACACCTGGGGGGGGTCGTGATCACACCTCAGGTGTTCTGGTGTCACCTGAGTCACACCTGAGGTGTTGTGGTTTCACCTGAATTACAGTTGGGGTTCTGATGTCACACCTGGGGATCCTCAGGTCCACCCTGAGCAACACCTGAGAGTTCTCTGATTTCCACCTGGGGTCACCTTTGAGCCTCTCTGACCCTCATTGTCCCTTGGACAGGTGGTCTGGCGTTACCTGCTGGACATGATCCTGCTCTCACTTGTCCCATCTCCCCTCCAGGTGTTCTTACCTGTCCCATTCCTCCTCCAGGTGTTCTCACCTGTCTCATTCCCTCTCTCACCTGTCCCATTTCCCTCTCCAGGTGTTCTCACCTGTCTCATTCCCTCTCTCACCTGTCCCATTTCCCTCTCCAGGTGTTCTCACCTGTCTCATTCCCTCTCTCACCTGTTCCATTCCTGCTCTCACCTGTCCCATCCCCCTCTCCAGCTGTTCTCACCTGTCCCCTCCCCCTCTCCAGGTGTTCTCACCTGTCCCATCCCCCTCCCCAGGTGGTCTGGCGTTACCTGCTGAACGTTTTCCCCGCCGGCCTCACCGGCCAGGAGCGCCTGTCCCACCTTCGCCTGAAAGCGGCCGAATACTCCTCGCTGAAGGTGGCCCTGGCCACCCGCACGCCGCCGGCCGAGCTGGCCCAGGTGGCCGCCGCCGTCCGCAAGGACGTGGTGCGCACCGACCGCGCCCACCCCTACTTCGGCGGCCCCGAGGAAGGCCACCCTCACCTGGCCGCTCTCCAAGCCCTGCTGACCACCTTCGCCCTGGGCCACCCGCGCTTGTCCTACTGCCAGGGCATGTCGGACGTGGCCGCGCCGCTGCTGGCCGTGCTGGACGACGAGGCCCAGGCTTACCTGTGCTTCTGCTCCTTGATGCGCCGCCTGGCGCCGCGGTTCCGCCCCGGCGGCCGCGGCCTCTCGCGGGCGTTCGCTCACCTGCGGCGGCTCCTGCGCCGCGCCGACCCGGCGTTCTGGGCGTTCCTGGCGGCGCGCGGCGCTCACGACCTGCTGTTCTGTTACCGGTGGTTGTTGTTGGAGCTGAAGCGCGAGTTCGCCTTCGAGGACGCCCTGAAGGTGTTGGAGATCACCTGGAGCTCGTTGCCGCCGGCGCCGGCGCCGCCGCGCCCGGGGGTGCCGTTGTTGGGGGCGCCCCTGGGGGCTCGGAGGGCGGGGAGGGGGTTGAGGGAGCGGCGGGGGCTGCGGCCGCGGCCGCCCAGGAGGAGGAGGAGGAGGAGGAGGAAGGTGGTGGTGGTGGAGGATGGTGGTGGTGGGGTCACGGAAGGTTCTGGAGGTGGGTTTGGGGGTTTGAAGGGTTCTGGTGGTGGTTTGGAGGGTTATGAGGCTTCTGGAGGTGTTCTCAGCGGTTCCAAGAGCTCCAACGGTGTTCTGGAAGGTTCTAAGAGCATCCAGGAAAGTCCCAAGAGCTCCAGTGATGCCCTCAAGAGCCCCAAGAGCTCTAGTGATCTTCTAGAAGGTTCTAAGAGCATCCAAGGAGGTCCCAAAAGCTCCAGTGATGTTCTGGAAGGTTCCAAGAGCATCCAGGAAGGTTCCAGGAGCTCCAGAGATGACTCCAAGAGCTCCAGTGATGTCCTCAAGAGTCCCAAGAGCTCCAGCGATCTTCTAGAAGGTTCCAAGAGCATCCAGGAAGGTTCCAGGAGCTCCAGAGATGACTCCAAGAGCTCCAGTGACGTCCCCGGTGACGCCAGGGACAGCCAGGAGGGTCCCAAGAGCTTGAAGAAGGTTCAGGAAGGTTCCCAGAGCTCCAGGAAGGTCCAGGGGAGACCCCCCAGGGATGGTGGAGAAGCCCCCGAGGACTCCTGGGGTGGCCCCAGGAGGGTGGAGGAGGGCACGGACGCCCTGGAGATGGAGCAGAGACCCCAGAGCCTCTGCTGGGGGGCTGGGGGTGACCCCAGAGAGGTTCAGGGTGACCTTGGAGATGGACACAGCTTTGGAGAAGGCCGCCATGACCCCAGGGATGGCCACAGCACCTCCAAGGATGGCCACCATGACCACAGGGATGGCCACCGTGACCCCAAGGATGACTATCATGACCCCAGGGATGACCACCACGACCCCAGGGATGGCCACAACATCTCCAAGAATGACCACCATGACCCCAAGGATGGCCACCGTGACCCCAGGGATGACCACCATGACCCCAGGGATGGCCACAACTCCAAGGATCACCACCGTGACCCCAAGGATGGCCACCATGACCCCAAGGATGACCACAACTCCAAGGATGACCACCATGATCCCAGGGATGACCACCACAACTCCAATGAAGACCACCACAACCCCATACACCACCACCACGACCTCAAAGACGACCACCACCACCCCAAAGCCACCGCCAACAACCCCACCACCCCCGAAGACCCTTGGGGCGGCCGTTGGGCTTGGGAAGACCCTTCCTCCTCCTCCTCCTCCTCCTCCTCCATCTCCTCGTGCTCCTCAGCCTCATCCTCCTCGGACGAGGAGGTGACGGTGGAGGACGACGGCGCTCCTCTGCCACCGCCAGAAGAGCTGGGCCAGGGGAACCCCTTCCTGCTCTTCGTGTGCCTCGCCATGCTGCTGGAGCAGCGCGACGCCGTCATGGCGCGCGCCGGCGACTACAACGAGGTGGCCATGCACTTCGACCGCCTGGTGCGGCGCCACCACCTGCCCCGCGTCCTGCGCCGCGCCAAGGGGCTCTTCGCCAGGTACCTGGAGGGGTGGGGAGGGTCGGCGCCCGGGGGAGACCAGGTGGGGTCTCCGTCGGGGTAATGGGGGGGTGGGGGGGGGTGTGTTTGGGGTCTTTGGTGGGGGTGGGAGATGGGGAGGGGGGTGTTGGAGGGTGGTGAGTCCGTCAAACATCTCAAAGGGGTCTTGAGGTGGCTGTGAGAGGCTCCAAAATTACTGGAGGTTTGTAGGACAGCATGGAGACCTCATGGAACATCTCAGAGGGGTCTTGAGGTGGCTGTGAGAGGCTCCAAAATTACTGGAGGTTTGTAGGACAGCATGGAGACCTCATGGAACATCTCAGAGAGGTCCTGAGGTTGTCCAAAGTCACTGGAGGTCTGTAGGACAGCATGGTGACCCCATGGAACATCTCAAAGGGGTTTTGAGATCATCATGAGAGGCTCCAAAGTCACTGGGGGTTTGTAGGACAAGGTGGAGACCCCATAAAACATCTCAAAGGGGTCTTGAGATGATTGTGAGAGGCTCCAAAGTCATTGGGGGTCTGTAGGACAGCATGGAGACCTCATGGAACATCTCAGAGAGGTCCTGAGGTTGTCCAAAGTCACTGGAGGTCTGTAGGACAGCATGGTGACCCCATGGAACATCTCAAAGGGGTTTTGAGATCATCATGAGAGGCTCCAAAGTCACTGGGGGTTTGTAGGACAAGCTGGAGACTCCATAAAACATCTCAAAGGGGTCTTGAGGTGGCTGTGAGAGGCTCCGAAATTACTGGAGGTTTGTAGGACAGCATGGAGACCCCATGGAACATCTCAGGTCCTGAGGTTGTCCAAAGTCACTGGAGGTCTGTAGGACAGCATGGTGACCCCATGGAACATCTCAAAGGGGTTTTGAGATCATCATGAGAGGCTCCAAAGTCACTGGGGGTTTGTAGGACAAGGTGGAGACCCCATAAAACATCTCAAAGGGGTCTTGAGATGATTGTGAGAGGCTCCAAAGTCATTGGGGGTCTGTAGGACAGCATGGAGACCCCATGGAACATCTCAAAGGGGTCTTGAGGTGATTGTGAGAGGCTCCAGAGTCACTGGGGGTTTGTAGGACAGCATGGAGACCCCATAGAAGATCTCAGAGAGGCCTTGAGGTTGTCCAGAGTCACTGGAGGTTTGTAGGACAAGGTGGAGACCCCATAAAACATCTCAAAGGGGTCTTGAGGTCATCTTGAGGGTCTCTGAAGTCACTGGGGGTCTGTAGAACAGCGTGGTGACCCCATAAAACATCTCCAAGATGTCCTGAGGTTGTTGTGAGGGTCTCCAGGGTCACTGGAGGTCTGTAGGACAAGGTGGACACCCCATGGAACATCTCAAAGGGGTCCTGACGTCACCTTGAGGACCCTTTGGTCACTGTCAGGGTCTGTAGGACACTGTGGGGACCCCACCTGGGGCCAGGGGGGTCCTTTTGGGGTCCCCAAGGCCACCTCGGGGTCCCCAAGGCCACCCTGGGGTCAGCAGGGACCCCCAGACCTCCCCACGACCCCTCCCAGTATAAACCAGTACAGCCCAGTGCCTCCCTGCTGGGTTCTGCACCACCATGGGCCATCCCGGTATAAACCAGTATAAACCAGTACGGACCAGCGCAGCATCCCGGCTGGGAGCTTCAGCAGCTGCGTGGCCTTGGGCCGGACCAGTATGGACCAGTATGGACCAGTATGGGGCTGGGAGCCCAACTGGGAGCCCCACACGCGTCGCTTTGTGCCGGACCAGTACGGACCAGTATGGACCAGTATGGACCAGTGCCTTGCCATGGCCTTCAGCCATCCCAGCACGCACCAGTATGGACCAGTATGGACCAGTACGGACCAGTCCGGCAGCCAAACTGGGAGCTCTTCACCGGCGTGGCCTTGCGTCCTCCCAGTACAAACCAGTACAAACCAGTACAAACCAGTCCAGAGCTCACCCAGGATCTCTTCACCCGCGTGGCCTTGCGTCCTCCCAGTACGGACCAGTACAGACCAGTATGGACCGGTAGGGTGTCCCCACTGCTGTGTTGATGCCCATAGGCCTTCTCCCAGTATGGACCAGTACAAACCAGTTCCTGCTCCTCCCCTCCCCCCCCACCCTGGGTGCCTTCTCCCCTCCCCCCCCTTTATTTATTGCCCCTCCCCCCCAGCCCGGGGGGGTCCCGGGGGGGTCCCGGAGGTGCCGGAAGCGCCAATAAACGATGCCTGGTACTGGTGTGGCTCCCAGTATGAACTGGGATGGACTGGGAGGGGTTTGGGGACTCCCAGTATGGACTGGGAGGAACTGGGAGGGGGCTGGGGGCTCCCAGTATGGACTGGGAATGAAATGGGGGATCCCAGTATGAACTGGGAGGGGTTTGGGGGCTCCCAGTATGGACTGGGAAGGAATTGGGGGCTCCCAGTATGGACTGGGAAGGAATTGGGGGCTCCCAGTATGAACTGGGAAGGAATTGGGAGCTCCCAGTATG